TTCCTGCTGTCATGGATTTTCTTTCATCTCTCCTTAAGATACTCTATGTTTCTGTCTCAGTTTCTCTCTTACACTGGCTTCTTAGCCCTATTTTAGGATCTCTATCCTCAGCTTTTTTCAGTTCAGCACTTCTCTCTGGACTCTTTATTTTGCCTTAGAATTTTTAAAACATTTTGTCCAGGTGCATGTGAGTAGCCTGTCCCAGTATTCATGTTGTTTCTTCTCTTCCACATGAATTTTTCTTCCACCCTTCTCACCTTTCCCTCCATCACTAGTTCTCAGTCCCGGACCTGTAGTTCTCTTCTGTATGTTCTTTCCATTTCGCCTCCCCTTTCAGTCTCTTCTCTCCTTGTTCTTTGCCTGACATTTTCCAGTCTGCTATCTCCTACTTGCATACCCCAATCTCTTGCCCTTTTTTCTTCATTCAGTTTTCATCTCCTATTTCTCCCACTGCTTAAACCACCAGGGTATGGAGATCACCTGAGAGACCACAGCAAATCGGAGCTTTAGCTGCAGGAATACACCTGTGTAGGTTCTCAGAGATTTAGCTGATACAGTCTCTGCAGGGGTCTGCAAGTGCTTTTCAGGCTTCACTTTGTTAAATATCAAAGAGTAAAAAGTGTATCTTTCAATACATGTGTTGACTTTTAAATCTACCTGGCAGGGGCAATAGGGTATTTCAAAAGGAAATGAGTTACAGAGGTTTTCCGACTTGTGCATAACAATGCGTTAATGATTCAGCCACTTTGCCTGCCATTTCCATGCAAAAACCTCGTAGTAAAATAGACAATGAAAATCCAAAAGATTGATGCTGTCACTCTTTATTTCCCTGAGGAAAATGGTAGTTTATGTAGAGAATATTCAACAAACTTACAAGCTGCTAAAACAGTCTGATAATGAGAAATACTGGGCAAGTATAATATGTAGTGTTATCGGCTGTACTAGTATGTACCACAATGACGTTCATGCTGAAACAAACCTGTTAATCTGCAAAATAAGTTTCTTTTTGAAAGCCAAAATTTATAGCACAGTTCAAGCAAATAACGTTATCTCAGAGGGTATCCACAAGGTAATCAATACATGCTTGTAATCCTAGGATTTAAAGCATGAAAGGGGGATGTTCCCATAGAAAATATCCTTTTATATCAAAGCCATTTGTTTGACCTGAATTGCATGATGTCGGTCTCTAGCCACAAGGTTTTAATTAGCTCTCTTGCCTGCAAGGGAGAATACAAAGCCCTGTGAGGTGTGAGCCACACAGTCTCTTCCACTTTCCCATTTTTGAATGACTTTTTTTTTTTTTTTTTTTTTCTTTTCCTGCTCACTTTCTGTTGGCATTTAGTCAGGTCTCTTTTGACGTGAACCACAATCTTGGAAAAATGGAGATTACAAGACATTAAAACCAGCATGCTTTCATGCCTGTCACTTACTCACAGAACTTGCCTTCAGTTGCTGAAGCTTTAAAAAAACTTAACAGTCAGACTGAATTTTCAGCTTTTTTTCTGCTCATTACTTCTTTTAGCTCCAGAATTATTTTTACCAAGTCATTAGTCTTCATGTTTTTTAAAAACTTAAAAAAAGAATTAAGGAGCAGAGTGATTCTGTTGTAAAACAGTAGACACGACTTTCTGTGAGCAGCTGTACTACCACAGTGTGTATCTGGTCGGACAGATTTTTGATAGGAGAAATGTCTTCCCTTGTTTATGGAAGATCAATTTTGATTTGGCCAAGTGGTGAGGTTGAAGCTCAAAGCAAGGAGGTGTAACTGATTATAACCATTTCACAGCCTGGTCAGCCTCTCCCTGGACTCACAGAAAGAAATTCCATTGATTCAGCTGAAGTTACAGTCTCTGTTTCATACAACTGAGTCTATGAATATCTCTAAAGTGACCAAAATAATTCTCAAAGTAACACAATTACTGCATTCTCAGCTGGAGTGAATTAGTTGTTAAAAAAACAGAGCTTTTTCAATTAGCTGCTCTGCTGTGCCAGTTTATGGTGTTTCCGTAAGTTGTTGGAGGTATCTCAGGATTCATCAGTTCTAAATGTGCGTGTATGTGCATTGGATGTCTGTGGGTCTTTGTGCTGCAGGAAATTATACTACACAATGGTCTTTTTTGGAGAACTGTGAAATATTTTCTTCTTACCATCATGGAGAGGCATAGGAGCACTGCCTTAACTCTCAATTAATTTGAGTTTAGACTGGGAGAGCTTTTGACCAGAGAGAATGTAAAACTTAAAATTTAATGTCTACTTCCAAATAGATAAAGAAATTCTAAAACACCATTAAACTCAAGTGAGAGACTCGTTAGGTGAATAGCAGACCTGCTGAGAGCAGTAGCTATGTAAAAAATCTGATTTATTTTGCAATGTGAGCATAGATATCCAGGGAGAGCATTTTTTGTATTTAAGGTGTTTACATTCAACATGTACTCAATTTAATGGAATCATGCTTAATGAGATTCCCTCTTCTTTGTTCACTGACAAATTTCTTGCAGTCACTTGGAATCACAACCTTGTCCTAGTGATTAACCACCCTTCCTCTGCTTTTTCATGTATAATAGAGCCATTGTAAGCCATTGCAACATTCATTTATCACCACTTTTGAAAATATATGTATAATGAGGATAAATGGTAATATACTGATTCATATTCTATGTAGTATCAAAAAAATAAAATATTTGGGAACTGAATTATTGAATTACTTCAGTAGTGACTCTGAAAATATGAGTATGTTTGTGCCAACAGACATTTTTCTCTCGTAGCAATGATGACACCAATATAATTAATACCTGTAGTAAGCAAAATTCTGAAATAAATCTTGGATGCCATTTAGTTAGGAGTTCTACATTGAGGCTATGCTTATCCATAGCCTTATCCAAACAAACCACTATAAATGGAGTAGAAAGATCAGACAAGTGGATATGTATATGAGATGGAGAGGCAGGAGAGCTGAGTTTTATGATGATGCACAGAGGAAACATGATCTTTAATGTACAGATGGGCCTATTTGATTACATTTGGTATCACTAATTGATATTTGCCATACAGAGAAAATTTTGATCCAGCCAAGAAGTGAGCTCAGATTTTATTTTTTCCATTTAGAGCTTTAAATCGAGATCATTCTTCTTCTGAATTGTGGTAAAGTACTACTTCGGTGATATGAATCAACACAAATGCTAGTAGCATCTAAATGTGGATTCTCTTATCAGTAAGATCTATCCTGTTTCAAGTGTAGTTCCTTCTCACATACTTCAAGTCTTATTTATACTATCTGGGAATGGTCTTAAAATGGTCTTCCAAAAATAGTTTTCAAAGGCATTTTTAAAGACTGTGTTTTGAGGATTCCTTAGGAGTTTAGGCAAGATATGGGAGAACTCCAACTTGAACGTAATACCAATGTAATAACTTCATTACAGTAATGCAAAGATTGCTTCAGCAAGGCAGGA